AAGAGACGGGATCTCGCTCTGTCACCCAGGCTGGAGTACAGTGGTGTGATCATAGCTCACTGCAGCCTTGAACTCCTGGGCTCAAGCAATCCTCTTGCCTCAGCCTCCCGAGTAGCTGGGACTACAGGCGCGAGCCATAATGCCTAGCTAATTTTTTTTTTTTTTTTTTTGGTACAGACGGTGGTCTCACCATGTTGCCCAGGCTGGTCTTGAACTCCTACCTGAAATGATCCTCCTGCCTCAGCCTCCCAGAGGCCTGGGATTACAGGCATGAGCCACTGTACCCGGCCTGCAAACATTTTTATATATTAATATATATTTTTATTAGTTTTATTATTCTTTCTTCCCTTTGCTCTACTGCTATTTGTACCTGTGATAAACTCGTGCAGATCTGTTTCACACAGAAATCAGTTGATGGTTGGTTGTATCCGATTCCTCCTCAGGCCAGTCATCTTCCTTAGGTGTTGGATCCTGAGGAGGCTTTAACTCGGTTTTTTAATCGATTACAAATCAAAATCAGTATTATCATAAGACTTACCATAAGTGAGTTGAATCTTACCAACAACACTGTATTGTATTATGATTGTTGTGTAATTCAGTGTCAGAACAGCAAGAATTATTTTTTCCTCTCAACAGAATCTACCCTTGCGTATATACCAGGTATTGTTAAGGACAGGTGTCATTGCAATTAGCCATGACTTGGTTATTACTGGATTCTAACTTACCTGGAGACAAAGCCAATCACCGTGTCTCATGTTACTGGCCTGTACTGAGACTGGTTTCCACTGGTTGATATATAGCAGGACCCACCTTCCCCCTCTACAGGGAAGCCATGAGTTGTTTCCAGAATAGTTGCTATCCCCGCTAACTGCACTGTAGACTATGTTTTAGCTTGTGCTATTCCAGGGGTGGGGACAGTTCTGGTCCATAGATGTAAATTGCAAGTGTCCCTGAGAAGTTCCATAACTTTGGAAGGTTGTTAGATATCCATACCCCTTGAGCCTCACGAGTCAGGAGACAGACCACAGGAAAATAGCAAAATCTGAAACAAGGACATCTATTTAAGGTACATGAACCTGGGACAGAGCAGATAGTGCCAGGTAGTGACAGAAATGATAGACACTTCAACATAAGAGACGGGGACACATGGTTATCTATAGGATAATAATCAATACCTGCCCATCATCTAAGTGAAAAACCACGAACTGCGTTTTCCCTGCTCTCACACCATGACAGGTGGTGGCCGCTGCTTTGATCTCATCGGGAACCCGTTGTCTTTCTCTATTTCTGTTGAGTAGCTTTTCATCCAGCCAAACAAGGGTGATGTGTGTTTGTGCATAGCACACGATAGCATGTTGGGGTGTGTTGCCATTATATTTTGTCCTTTATAACCAGAGACCTTTCTGGTCAGTCAAGGTCTACAGCTACACAATGATCAATCTATTGGGAGTTGTACGCCATGTGGTTTGTAGTCCTTGGAAATTTTTTTCCAAATGCTATCCTTTATAATTAGATGTGTCTTGAAAATTTAAGAGTCAAAAGATATTGGTACAATACTAGAGTTCCATTTAGTCACTAACATGTGGTCCAGTTGATCAGCATGTCTTATGACCAGAATGTCTTCCAGAGAGATGTCACTCAAGTTTGCAGGCCGCCATTCGACCTCGTCAGGAGGTTACAAGAGCAAGGGCAGTTTTGGCAAACATATGTAATATGTCCCCTCTGGGCAACTGGTATGATCGTGTTAAGAGATAATGCCATTCTCTTGCTCTGAGCTTTTCTCAAAGTATTAGTTCAATGTTGCATTTTCCGTGTTGCATAACCCCATTATTCATTTCCTTGCCCTGAGCTATTCTTTCTTTTCTCCATTTGTCATTTGTTTTTACCCAGACTTTTCCACCTCTGGAAGGGACATAGGTTCAGCCATCGTGCTAGTCCAGATTACAGGCAGCGACATTAGTCTAGCCAGTGCCCCCTTCAGCCCACACCCATTCCTGTAAAGTTCATTTTATTACAGAACTTTTCTGGGTATTGGCATTCTTACTAAAGATGTTTTTTTGACATTATCCTAAGATGTGTGCATCTCAGGTTTTATGATTATGTTTTATACTTCAGTCATCGAGGCAGTTTCAGTTAATGTCCAATAATAAATTAGTAATTGCCTCTCAAGTGGTATGTCCCAGGCAGCAGCATTTGGAAATTTTTTTGGTCTAAAATCCCAATGGTTGCCACTAGGAAGCACTTTTGCCAAATGCCACAGTCGGTATGAGTTTGAGTGGCACTTGTAAAATCATATTAGAGGCCGGGTGCGGTGGCTCATGCCTGTAATCCTAGCACTCTGGGAGCCCGAGGTGGGTGGAATGCTCGAGGTCAGGACTTTGAAACCAGCCTAAGCAAGAGCGAGACCCTGTCTCTACTAAAAATAGAAAGAAATTAATTGGCCAACTAATATATATATATAGAAAAAATTAGCCGGGCATGGTGGCGCATGCCTGTAGTCCCAGCCACTTGGGAGGCTGAGGCAGCAGGATTGCTTGAGCCCAGGAGTTTGAGGTTGCTGTGAGCTAGGCTGACGCCACGGCACTCATTTTATCCTGGGCAACAAAGCGAGACTCGGTCTCAAAAAAATAAAAATAAAAAAATAAAATCATATTAGAGAGGAGATCAGAGGGACCCAAACATGTCAAGAGGGCTTCTGGGTTTTTTTGTTTTGTTCTTTTTGTAAACAGGGTTCCACTAAGTTGTCCAGGCTGGTCTTGAACTCCAGCGCTCAAGCAATCATCCCAGCCAGTCCCCAGCCTCCTGAGTAGCTGAGATTACAGGGGCATACTGCCATACCTGGCCACTGTTTTGTTGGTTTAGACATAGTCGGTTTTTATTCAGGTCCCCACTCAAACATGGCTTTCTTTTGAGTAATCTTAAAGATAAGAATTAGTAATATTAATATTTCCTGATGTGGAATGTGTGTTTTCCAGAATCTAAATAAACCAACTAAGAGCTGGGCTTTGGTTTGGTGTTAGGGATGGGCAGTGAAAGTAGTTTTATTTTTAGTCATTTGTAGACTACCCCAGTTGTGTCCTGCCTGGGTTATTTCTTAGAATTTTATCATTTAGGCAGGCTCTCGCGTCTTTGTCTGATTCATTAACCAGACTCATTTGGTCTTGTGAGTCACCATTGTTTTTATTTTACATATATATATTTTTTTTCCCCCAACATTCACCTTATATAAAAACCATTGTTTTTAAATTAGTCCTACCCTGTTCTTTAGTTTTCGACAGTATCATAACATCATCAGTAGAGTGAATTATTACACACAGGATCTGTGTCAAGTTCAAAACCCAGCTGAACAAATTGTGACTGTGAGCTGTTGAATTTAGATAACCTGTGGCAGTATAATAAATGTAAATTGGGATCCTTCCCACGTGAAAGTTAACTGCAGTTGTTTTTGTTGTTGTTGTTGTTTTTTTTAATTGAGATAGAGAAGAAGTATTGGTAAGATCAATCACTGAGTACCAGTCTCCTTTTAACCATGGCAAACCATGTCTGGGACTGTTGAGGGTACAGGCTGTATAACTTTATTTATTTATGTGTCAGCAGTCTACTGTCGGTCTCCATGAGCCATCCACTTTTTTCACAGGCCACACAGGGCTGTGAACAGAGAATTTGTTGGTGCCAGCACTGTAGCATTCAGTGTGTCATTGATGAAAGTGGTAATCTCTTTCTGTCCGCCGGGTATTCTGTTTTGTCTTCATTTAACCATCTCTGTGGGTTTGGGCAGTTTTAGTGGTTTCCATTTAGTATTGCATGCTTTATGTTTTACAGCATTAGGTATGGGAAGCAGTCCTCAGTCAGACATGATATCCATCCTGATAACACATTCAGGTAAAGGAGATGTGACTATCTTACATAAAATTTGCTTAAAAGTCCCAATTTTCTTTCTTTTCTTTTTTTCTTTTTTTCTTTTTTTTTTTTGAGACAGAGTCGCACTCTATTGCCCTGGCTAGAGTGTGGGGACGTCAGCCTGGCTCACAGCAACCTCAAACTCCTGGGCTTAAGCAATCCTCCTGCCTCAGCCTCCCGAGTAGCTGGGACTACAGGCATGCGCCACCATGCTTGGCTAATTTTTTCTATATATTTTAAGTTGGCCAGTTAATTTCTTTCTATTTTTAGTAGAGATGGAGTCTTGCTCTTGTTCAGGATGGTTTTGAACTCCTGACCTTGAGCAATCCTCCCGCCTCGGCCTCCCAGAGTGCTAGGATTACAGGCGTGAGCCACCTCACCCAGCCAAAAGTACCAATTTTCATCGAAACCTTTATCTTTGCCCCATCCACACTTGTGTTTCTACATAATCTCAATTCAGGCTTAGATCCCAGTAAGATTTTGCCAGTAGGCTTTGGAATCACAGTGTATAGGGGTCCCGTGTCAAGGAGTCTCACAAAGGTTATTTTTCTCCCACTTGCACATTCTACCCACACATGTATATGGCCTGTGGTCCCCAGCTAGGGGTTGGGCTGGGAGACCTTGGCCTCTCTGTCCACTGTTACCTTGATTAACCAGTCTAACCATTGTGTTTAAGGTGGGGATTTTCATTGTAATCTTTACCTTGTGGCTTTTTAAATTGCTCCAAAGTGGGATAAATTAGTAGAATTTTTGAGGACCTTTTCAGGTTCGGAGGCTAGTGGGGGGTCCTGTTGGCCCACCCAACCTTCAGTAGTGTTGCATCCATACAACACTTTGTTTCAGCACTTTTGATAGCTACCATATTTATTGCCCTTTGTTTTATTTATTTATTTTAGAGGCAGGGTCCTGCTGTGTTGCCCAGGCTGGAGTACAGTGGTATATAGTCCTAGCTGACTGTAACCTTGAACTCCTGGGCTCAAGTGATCCTCTTGCCTCAGCCTCTTTGAGTAGCTGGGACTCAGCCTCATGCCAGCACGCCTGGCTAATTTTTTATTTTTGGTAGAGACGAGGTCTTGCTATGTTACCCAGGCTGGTCTCAAACTCCTGACCAGAGGCGATCCTCCTGCCTCCGCCTCCCAAAGTGCTGGGATTTCAGGTGTGACCCACCGCGGCTGGCCCATTTGTGATTGTTTAATAGTGAGCTGTGGGTCCTATATCAATGTAAACATGGTTTGTTTTTTTTCCACTCTGTAGTATTTAAAACCAAAGGTACTGCTCCAAAATTAGTTACTTTTATAATCTATTTTGATAAAGATTCTTCAGAGAGCTGATGATACCAGCGCAGAAAATGAGACTTTTTTTTCAGATTATACCTTCTAGTTTCAATAGTTTTTGGTTTTGCCCTTTCCCCACATTGACTGCCTTTTTGTAGCCTTAGAGGTACTCTTGCTTGCGTTGACACAATTTTCCCTCTTGTGGACAGCTTGGAGGCTGGTGTCCTGGGGCCAGACACATCAACATCTGAGTGTGGTCCCATGTCATGGCCTGAGTCAAGCCCTGAGCCAGCGTTCTCATTTAAAAGACTTTCATTTTAGTTTTTACAGATGGTAATGAGCAAGGGATTGTGTGTTTAGCATGCTTCTTCTTATTTTGTATTTTCTTGTGTCTCCAATGAGCCTACTCCTTGGGAGCTGGGTCTGCCACTGTCTCTAAATGTCATTGGTAAATTTTACTGTTAGTAACCGAATGCAGCGTAGTCGCTGTTTTATACCATGGGTGACGGGGCCGCTGTCCAGGGATCAAAGGTTCCTCATGTCCCACTCATTCACCCTTTCTCTTCCCAAACCACATTTCTGGGCCCCAGGGCCATTCTAGCAAACCCCTCAGCTGGCACCAATTGTATGAGAAAAACTCACACTTTTTTTTTTTTAATTCTCTCACTCAACAGTCAACACAGCAGACTTCTGTGCCCAAATGTGTGGGGGTTTCTCCCCACCAACAAGTAATCAGTTCCGCAGGTGACACCAGCTGGGGGTCTGCCAATCCAATCTAATTCTGAAGCTGTCTACCTGGAGACAGCAGCAGATCCCACAGGTTGAGGGCTCAGTCGCACAAGATGTCCCCCCCTTCAAACAGCACTGGGCAGTCTGGGCCTCCAGAACTCCGACCAGCTGACTTCCAGTCAGGGTACCCACAGCCCCATCTTTAGGCTCGATTAATTTATTGGAGTGGCAAACAAAATTCAGAGATGCAGGTTTACCGGTTTATTATGAAAAATATTTTAAAAGATACAAAGAAACATGTAGACAAAGAGATTACAGTGAAATCTGGAAGGATCCCCGGGGTGGAACTGGGCCACACCTCCCACCCCCAAGCATGGGGCGTGTATGGGGCTTTCTCCGATTCCTGGGTGTGTATTTAGGTGCTTTTGAATACCCTGATTTCTGCAGGAAATTTTCTTTCCAGCTTCTCCCAGGCTTTAGGTGTTGTGTCGCATGCCTCAACCATCATCTGTTGTCCCCGCTGGCGGCACGCTTTTCATTTATTTTACAATATTTTCAAGCAATTCCTGCTAGTTTTTCACTCTGATTGGATTAGCAAAACAGGGAAGAGTATTTTTTCAGCCCCTGCCTAGCACCGCGTTCTAGAATGGGTTTGGCTCCTTCTAGTCACGTGTCTTAGCTCTTCCCAAGCCTCAGGGGGCGGAGCCTGGAGCTGCATCACAATAGGGGGCTGGGGCGGGTTGAGCTTATCATCCAATCAGGTGTGACTGGGAGCCAGTCCTTTGATGCTCAGCCTCACTTGGGGGGGGGAATCCCCACTCGGTGTGTGGGGGTCGTGCATGGGAGGGGCTGTGGTCTGTGGGGTTCCCAGTCCCTCCCTCTCCTTTTAAAAATTATAGCTCACTGTAACCTCAAATTCCTGGGCTCAATCAATCCTCCTGCCTCAGCCTCCTGAGTAGCTGGGACTACAGGTGCGCTTACTACCCTGGCTAATTTTTCTATTTTTAGTAGAGATGGGATCTTGCTCTTGCTCAGGCTGGTCTCAAACTCCTGACCTCAGGTGTTCCTCCTGCCTTGGCCTCCCAGAGTGCTAAGATTACAGGCGTGAGCCACTGCTCCTGGCTGAGGCATTGTGATTTGTTAACGGAAAAAAACCCAAACTCTCTAAAATAAATAGGTTCATTCTGAGCAGACTGTGAGTGACAGAAACCCAAGAAGCCTTGAGTAAGGGGTCCCCCTGAGGTGGGATTACAATTTGGTTTGATACATTACAGGGAGACTGAAAGTGCAGCTTGACAATGTTCTCTGTTAGTGTAGTCACAAAAGATGAGCTTAATTTCTCAACTAACAAGTTCTGACAACACGTGAAATATTTTTTTTTCCAGAGAAGCTCATTAGAGATTGGGTACCTGGAGTGTTTTGGGGGGAGTTCATCATGTAGGCACCCTGTATTGTGTATGTAACAAAATCCCAAACTGTCACTGAACCTAAAAGGGGGGTTCAATGTTGCCAGCTGCACAGAAAGCCAATTATTGAGACAGCGAGGATTGTCAGGAGGAAAGGATTTATTTCTGTGCATGTATCAACAGGGAGGGGAAGGTATGAACTGTCTTAAATCTGCCTCTCCTACCAACAGGGTTAGGGCTTTTTTTTTGTAGGCAAAATAAATAATGCATGAGAAGTGTGAGCATTACTATATGTTTGGGGTAGAGTGCAGGGCACGCAAGTGCAATGAGAAATCACGCTAGTACACATGTCTCATGATCAAAAGGTGGCAGGTAAGTCCCTCCCAGGGTGGAGATTTTAGTATTATAATAAGCTAGGGGTTAATATTCGTTGTTCTCTCAGCCTTGTGTCCAGGCTCAGTGGGTCTTCCAGCATGGTTTGTGGTGAAGCATTGCTTATCTTGTCTTTTCCGGACTTTTCCAGACAAGCAGGTGGTGTGAGGCTTTGTAGGAGGTTTCACTATTCCTGGGAAAGGAACTCAGAAGGGAATGTATCAGTACAACAGAAAGTTATAAAGTTCTGCTGAGCAAACTTTGCTAAAGAATTCTTTGTCTATTTTCTGCCTAATTGAAACTGTAGCTGTTAAGTTACCAAGGCTGAGATGAATCTTGCTGTCAAAGCCACTTAGAGCTGCCAGCCCTAGCCATAATGTAAACACTGATAACTCATTTGAGATATGAGAGAACTAAAAACATTATTGAGAAAATACTTTTTTGCTTATAGAACCAGTTATAAAACTCTGAGAAGGAAAACAGGAGATCAAAAATTACCATATTTTTTCATAAACAGTTTAGGATCAGCAAGCTACTCTTATCATGTGGATTGGTGGATGCTCTCCCCAATTCCTAGATACCAGCAATAGGTGAGCATCTCGAGGAGGTGTTTTTAAGGATATGCAGTCTTAGAACCGCTAATATTACCTTTCTTGTGCACATTAAATGGTACAACTTTGTTATGACAGGTGCTTCAAAGTCCACTGTAGAGACAGTGTGTGGCAGGGTGTGACCCAGAAAGCACATATTACTCCCTGGAACCACCAATGAAAGGCGTGTTCATATATTGTTATTGCTTTACCCAGAGGTTAATTCTAGTATCATAGTTGCTGTGTAGGAGGAAGTGCATGTGAACAGAGAGTAAGAGTCTGATGACCAAATCATGGAATGAATGTTTGGAGGCTACAGTATAATGTGAAGTTTTTATTAATTGAGTATAGAGCTGCATTGCTGTCAGTCTCACCTGTTCTTCTCTACACATATCTGGGACGTTTCAGGACTCAGTGGCCTTTGAGGAAGTGGCTGTGAGCTTCACACAGGAGGAGTGGGCTTTGCTAGAGCCTTCCCAGAAGAATCTCTACAGAGATGTGATGCGGGAAACCATCAGGAACCTGTCCTCTATAGGTAAAGACTATTTCAGTTCATCACTTAGTGAATTAGGGAGCCATTGTTTCTTATGTATTGACACTGCTCCATAATTGGAAACATGGAGAGAGAATACTTTGAGAAATAAGCCAAGTGTAGTCACAATGTGCCCTGAACCTAGAATCTAATAATTTTTATATAATTTTGTACTAATTCATAATGATTTTTCTGGATTTGTGTTTTAGGAAAAAAATGGAAAAACCAGAACATTGAAGATCACTACAAACACCAAGGGAGAAATCTAAGGTAATTTGCCCTCACATAGAAAATTCATTTGACAGTATTTTAGCATATCCTGAAATTTTAAAAACAGGCAAACAAAATGGATAAGTCTAGCTTCAAACTTATTATCTATAGGAAAATTTTCTCCAAAAACATTATAACACTTACATGTAAATAGTGTTTGCAAAAAAATTTCACTTGGAAACAGAATTAAGAAACTCTGTATATAAATATCACTGTGTAATAGCTGTGGTCGAGCCCTCTTGCAGAGCATTGAATCCATTATGTTCAAACAAATCAGACATGCCATCAAGTCTATACTTTCCATGATAATGTTAAAAATGTAAGTCTAATAGCTATTAATATAAAATCATTAATAAACAAATACTTAGTAATGTACTTCTTATTCTTTACAGAAGTCATACAGTGGAGAGACAGTGTCAAAGTAAAGAAGACAGTCAGTGTGGAGGAATTTTTAGCCAGATTCCAAATCATAAACCAAGCAAGAAATCTCCTAAAGTAAAACCATGTGAAAGCAGTGTGTGTGGAGAAGTCAGCATGGGTCAGTCATCCCTTAATAGGCACATCAGAGATCACCCTGAACATGAACCAAATGAATATCAGGAATATGGAGAGAAGCCACATACACGTGACCAGCGTTGGAAAGCCTTTGGCCCCCACCACTCCTTTCGAACACCTGAAATTATCCACACTGGAGAGAAACTCTATGATTGTAAGGAATGTGGGAAAACTTTCTTTTCTCTCAAAAGAATTAGAAGACACATGATAACACACAGTGGATATATACCATATAAATGTAAAGTGTGTGGGAAAGCCTTTGATTATCCGAGTAGATTTCGAACACATGAACGAAGTCACACTGGAGAGAAACCCTATGAATGTAAGGAATGCGGGAAAGCCTTCACTTGTATCACCAGTGTTCGAAGACACATGGTAAAGCATACTGGAGATGGACCTTATAAATGTAAGGTGTGTGGGAAACCCTTTCATTCTCTGAGCTCATTTCAAGTACATGAAAGAACCCACACTGGAGAGAAACCGTATAAATGTAAGCAATGTAATAAAGCTTTTGTTTCTTCCCCATCTTTACGAATACATGAAAGAACTCATACTGGAGAAAAACCTTATGCATGTAAGCAGTGTGGGAAAGCCTTCAGTTATCTCCCCTCCCTTCGATTACATGAAAGGATTCACACTGGAGAGAAACCCTTTGAATGCAAACAGTGTGGTAAAGCCTTTAGATCTATCAGTACCTTTCGAATACATGAAAGGACTCACACTGGAGAAAAACCCTATGAATGTAAGGAATGTGGGGAAGCCTTCAGTTGTATCCCAAGTTTTCGAAGACACATGATAAAGCACACGGGAGAGGGACCTTATAAATGCAAGGTATGTGGGAAACCATTTCATTCTGTGAGTCCATTTCGAATACACGAAAGAAGTCACACTGGAGAGAAACCCTATGAATGTAAACATTGTGGTAAAGCTTTTGTTTCATCCACGTCTATTCGAATACATGAAAGAATTCATACTGGAGAGAAACCCTATCAATGTCAGCAGTGTGGGAAAGCCTTCAGTTATCTCAACTCCTTTCGAACACATGAAATGATTCACACTGGTGAGAAGCCCTTTGAATGTAAACAGTGTGGTAAAGCCTTTAGATCTTCCAGTTCCTTTCGAATGCATGAAAGGACTCACACTAGACAGAAACCCTATGAATGTAAGGAATGTGGAAAAGGCTACTTTTGCCATGCAAGCTTTCAAAAACATATGATGACACACTGGAGGTGGACCTTATAAATGTATGTGGGAAATTTGATGTTCCAAATTCATGGGAAATACATAAAAGTACTTACACTAAAGAGAAAAAACATTTTGAATGTAAGCAGTATGGGAAAGCATTAAATTGTGTCAGTGCCTTTTGAATACATGAAAAAAATCATACTGGAAAGAAGCCATTTAAATGTGATTAGTGTGGGAAAACCTTCAGTTATCGCCACTGCTTTTGAATACATGACAGCACTTACTGGAGAGAAACCATATAAATGTAAACAGTGTGGGAAATCTTTTAGGTCCTTTTAATTTTGAATATAAGAAAGAAGTCAACTGGAGAGAAAAACCTATGGACTATAAGGACTATGGGAAAGTATTCTACTGTTGCAGTTACCTTCAAAGACATAAAGAGCTCACACTGGGGAAAAAACCTGGAGTGGACAACATGTGGTAAAGTCTTCACTGGCTTCACTTAATATCTAACATGTGAAAGAACTCACACTAGAAAGAAATACTATAAATATAAGAAATGTGGTAAAAGCTTCAGTTGTTCTAGTTCCTTTCAAGTACATGAAAGAACTCACCATGGAGAAAAAGCAAATACTTGTGAAAGGAACTCATATTCAAGAGAAATCCTATGTAAAGAATATGGGAAAGGTTTTATCATCATGTGGTCTTTCTATCACATATAAGACTGCATAGCAGAGAGAACCTCTGTAAATGTAAGGAGTGTGGGAAAGCCTTTAGTCATTTTAGCTCAATTTGAAGCCATGAAAGAACACATAGAAGAGGAAAAGCTCTTGAATATAAGCAACATCCCAAAGTCTTTAGTGAGCCCACATGCTTACAACAGTATGTAAGAATGCACACTGGATCAAAACCCTCTAAATGTGAAGAACGCAGGAAGGTTTTCAATTTTAACAAATACTCTCAATGTCATTTGAAAACGCCTAATGTAGCAAAATCTTATAATATGAAAAGCCTCATGCACACCAATTCATTTATAATACTCTAGAAATTATACAACCTTAAAGAAATGTAGAAGTAATAGATGGTGTTCATTAGTGGCTCATACTTAAAATAGTTCTGGACTATGGATATTTAATTCTTACTCTCACAAAGAAACATTTAGTTCATATAATTCTGTAAGTAATCTTAAAGCATTGTGCATGAGTTTAATAGGAAGTGTTGTTTTAGGTCAGTTAATACAATTTTTGTCTTTCCATTTTGAAGTGTGTTTAATCCATGTGTGAATTTAATGTTATTTCTGATATTCAGGTACATCGAATTTTTACATGGTTGTTTAATTGTTCTGTGATTGAGGGCCATTGAAAAATAAGTCCTTGTTAATAAATGTTGGCATATACCTACTGGCCTCATTTAGCAAGTTCATGATTTTTTTTTTTACCTATTATATATATTCCAGTTTTATGGGAACAACTATTTCCACCACCACCCTTTGGCACAATGAAGTTAATTCCATTTTCCTTCCTAATAAAGAGCTGGCTTCTATTTATATGTATGTAAAGTTTATCATAGACCGTAGTCTCATGAAAAGTATTATTTTCATCTGTTACTGTTTACTCTTTGTAATTTATTCTGGCTGTTATTTGTATAACTGATTTTGGGATGAGGAGAGAGCTGTGATAGGACAATAAAATCTAGAATTGGGAGATGCCATTCATGGATTGTGGTATGTCAATGTGGGTGATATTGGGAACTAGACTTTTCAGAATTCGTTTCTTTTATGATTCTACATTAGACTGCATCAATAGTCTAACTTCCAGGAAAGTTGGAAGGCAGAAGTAAAGAAGGTATTAGTCAGATTTTGGAGGCATCATATAGGCAGACAGATTCATATGGGCTGTGTGGACATGTTCATGTAGCTCATTCTCCTGATTCTTTGTTATGCCAATCAGGAGTGTCTTTTAAATCACCATCTACTTCTCCATGTTCTCAGGTGTAGGTTTCTATAGTTGTCTCTACAAGGTCCATATCAAAATTCCAACTGCCATTTGGATTTTTTTGAAAGCTATAATGGGTCCACCAAGTAACCAATTTGGATTCTCATGGTTGGGAATATCCTGATGATCTGACATGGCTCTTCTCTTAATTATGTTCATATAACATCCAATTTGTATATAAACACCTTTGCTCATATGGATAGTAACTGTTAATGATTCAGGATGAGAGATACAATGGTACCATCAAAAAAAGAAAGAAAAACAGCTATATGGAGCTTGTTCCCCTAATGCACTGTGCAGTGATGGTTTCATCCAATCCTTTTATGTGAGAATAAGCACCATATACATTTCAGGAAGACTGTGGGTGTTTTACTTTTAACTCAAAGCTGAATGTTATCTCTTATTTAATTTAATTAATTTATTTAGAGTCTTGCTCTGTCACCCTGGGTAGAATGCAGGGGTGTCATCATAGCTCACTGCAGTCTCAAACTCCTGGGCTCGAGCGATCCCCCTGCCTCAGCTGGGAGTAGCTGGGACTACAGGCGCATACCACCATGCCCGGTTAATTTTTTCTATTTTTAGTAGAGACAGGGTCTCACTCTTGTTCAGGCTAGTCTTGAACTCCTGAGCTCAAGTGATCCTTCCACCTCGGCCTCTCAGAGTGCTAGGATTCCAGATGTGAGCCACCACACCCAGCCATCTCTTAGTTTATTTTGAATTATATTTGATTATGTGATTAATAATAATATGCATATCTCCCTCAAACAAAAGTTCTCTACATGTTCCTTAAAAATAGTACCATGTTTCCCCGAAAATAAGACCTACCCATAAAATAAGCCCTAGCAGGATTTCTAAGCATTTGCACAATATAAACCCTACCTCGAAAATAAGACCTAGTGATGGGCGTGGCTGTGCAGCGTATCTGCACAACCCATGCATTTCGTTACAGAGTGGTAAAGACGAGCAGCCCTTCTCATTTGTCCCATGAGAGCTCCACTGCTCGACATGAGAGATTGGGGCCAATGGTTCTAAAGGAAATAGAGTCACAAGAAATTCAAGATGGAATTCGAGGTTTGGAGAGTTATGATAATGTTCCAGAAGAAGACAATTTAACTATATTTGAGTAAATGTAGATTGTTGTACCGTACTTAAAAAAAAATAACACATCCCCCGAAAATAAGCCCTAGGGTGTCTTCTTGAGGAAAAATAAATATAAGAAAGACCCTGTCTTATTTTCGAGGAAACACGGTAGAAGTGTTCAGACAACTTGCATACTATCAAATGAGTTTTTCATTTAGTGAAATGATATATTAAAATATTCCATTGCAATCATGCATCAGATAAATTTTTATTATGTATATATATATATCAAGATTATTGAGTAAGGTAAACTTTATAATGTTGGTAAGTTATTAGTTCAATATTGTGAGTCAACATTACCATGTTCTTACAACTTCAGGCCTTTTTTTTTCCTCACATAAATTTTAGTTTACATGCATATTTAGGTACAGTTTTTATGATAATTTATTTGCTCATAATACCAAATGTTAAATCATGTTTTAGTGTGTAACTTTTTGCCAAAGATCACTAGGAAAATACCTGTTGTCAAACAGATTATAATAAAGTTATAGTAATAAATATGAGCACAAACCGTTTACTGCAAAATGTATCAGTAAGATGGTATTCAAAAGAATTTCTCATAGGGTTTGTCTTTGTTTTAGGCTAATTGATTTCAGTTAAGGAGGCAAGACATTTCTCTATATTGGATGTAGTGAAGGGATTAGTAGAGAAGGGGGAAATTTTGGCCATATTTACGGTTTAGGATGTATTTCTCTTTTACCATTTTTTTTTTTTTGAGACAGAGTCTCGCTTTGTTGCCCAGGCTAAAGTGAGTGCCATGGCATCAGCCTCGCTCACAGCAACCTCAAACTCCTGGGCTCAAGCGATCCTCCTGCCTCAGCCTCCCGAGTAGCTGGGAATACAGGCATGCGCCATCATGCCCGGCTAATTTTTCCTATATATATATTAGTTGGCCAATTAATTTCTTTCTATTTATAGTAGAGACAGGGTCTCTTGTTCAGGCTAGTTTCGAACTCCTGACCTTGAGCAATCCAACCGCCTCGGCCTCCCAGAGAGCTAGGATTACAGGCGTGAGCCACCACGCCAGGCCTCTTTTACCATCTTTATAGACATGGTTACAGAATGCCCTTGTTTTTGTCTTGATCCATCTTGGTCACTGAGGGTCATTGTCTGATGCTGGACATTTGTCATATGTCTCTTCAGCAGCATAAGACTTGGCCTTGAGGTGAGTGTGAGGCCAGCTCCCAGGCTCATGGAGCGGACCTGGTTTTGCCTTTTTCAATATCTAAACACCAAAATGTTTCCTATGATGGACACAGTCTTCCATAAAGTACCTCAATTAAAGTATATAAATTTATATACTTCTCAGCAATTATGTGATGTGTAAATTAGGCAAATATGTTTACATAAATTGTCATAATACAAACTTAAGAAGGGACAGAGAGAGCATCACTGTTTCAAGCCTCTCCCCCCCTCTTTTTTTTGGTCAGATAGCATTGCTCGTGGTCTTGTTAGTGACTCACCAACATCCCTCAGATGCCAGAATTGTAGACTCCAAACATACGGAATTCAGCACAAATAATCCAAGCACAGAGGGCTCTAGAAATAGACATGAAATAAACTTTTTGTAATCCTCGTGTGTTTATATTTTTGAGGAAAGAGGTGGTGAAGAAATGGTAGTACTTTGGTTTATAAGATGGAAGTAGGGGTTCCGAAGCAACGCAAGGTGAGATGAGCTGGTCTATATGTTGATCTTCTCTGTTGGGGCCAGGAGGTCAGTGAGGGAAGATGTCATTGTGATCACTTCTGTTTCCACGTCTTCAACGCTCTTTCAGGACTGTTCAGGTGTGGATGTGGATCATGGACACAGTATAGACAGTTGTCCATTCTTGGCACTAACCATGATTCCCCGTAAAGACAGAGGAATGGTCATTTTTATTTACCACTGGTTAATAGTTACAGGTTATAAAATATGTTGTCTTGAGTTTGGCCTTGGGATTTTGGGACTTGAGGTTGCTCAATACTTTGGGCCTCAGTTGCTTCCTTCTCCTGGAAGGGTTGTGGTCATTTGCACAGCGTGGCCCATCAGGAGTTGCCATGAGTGCTGTCTGTCCAAGTCCACCGTAATGTAATTTCCTGCTTGAAACAACGTGTTTAGAGGGAAATTGTATGTCTTCTTATCTGAGGTGAGTAATTGAGGTGAGCTGCAAAGGTTTTGAATAACCTCACTAATATCTGTTAGTGGAAATAGAGATATATTTGACACACTCAAAGTGTGACATTTTTACTATCTTTTTATGAGAGGAATAGCTGGGAACATTATGTTTTAATAACCCACAAAGTCCCAAAGTTTATCTTGCTGTTCATAGGTGTCATTTTCTTATGCGTAGACTTCAGTACATGTTGGCGGTGGGAGTAACGAACAAATTCAGTAAAGTGGGATGAGAGAAAGACAACATGCAGAAGTTATTTTTATATCTCTGTGCTGATATCGGACAATCCCATCACTTCATAGATGGTGTCAGGTAAGCACCTGGCCAGAAAAGCCATGTTGAAACACCCCAGAGTAAACGTCTCAGGTGTTACGGGGCAGAGTAGCAATAGATGAGGGATTATACATGGAGATTGTGTATCCACATGAGTGAAGGGTGGAGTCATTTTCTGTCAGATTGTAGAGTCACTTGGATCCGGGAAGAGATGCCAGTGACAGGTGTTCCTAATACAACCAGTCCCTCATCCTCCTCCCTCGAAGGCCAATTCTATGATGATAGTATTGCCCAAAGAGTAGAAACACTACCATCAACATGGCTCTAAATGTGATTTTCCAGCTGAGTGCAGTGGCTCATGCCTGTAATCCTAGCACTTTGGGAGGCTGAGGCAGGAGGCTGTCTTGAGCCCAGGCTCAAGGCTGTGCAGTGAGCTATGATGATGCCACTGCACGCTAGCCTGGGCGACAGAGTGAGACCCTGTTTCCAAAAAAAAGCTTTTGAACACTACAATACAAGTTACTCAAGAACTACTATAAGAAATAGCCAGCCCAGGTGTACACAGGAAGAACGGCGACAGCTTGGTCCATGAGATCCAATCCTCTAGTCTGGGACACCACCCTGCAGTCCCCCCTCCGGGCCACTCGACATCATTCCAGACCTTCAAGGCCTTTGTCCATGTCTGGAGTCACCCCAAGACGCACAAGGCCCTCGCTTGAGCTTGCATGCCCCCCATTCTCAAACTCCGCCTCTAGATACTCCAAGCCCCCCGCATCGTTTCACGAAAACTGAGTCGTGTCCCCCAATTCCTTCCGCGCGCCGACGCCCGCACACGCTGTTCACCCACTGGAGGTGGCGGCGGGGCTGGCGGGCGCAGTGTGGTCCCTGCAGGCGGAGGACAGGTCGGGAGCGGACGGGCCCGCTGAGCGGGGGTAAAGCCGGTCCCCCTCTCTCCTGCCTCTCTCCTGTCACCTCCCCGCTGCCCCTCTCAACTGCAACCCCAAAGTCGCGGAGATCGCACGTCCGAGGCCTCCGCTGGTGAGATCGGTGCTCAGGCACAACAGCAGCATCCGCGCACCCTGCGGTCCAGGTGAGCAGAAGCGCCCAGGCCTGCAGCTCCCCGGCGGCCCCCAAAACGGCAGGAGGGGCGGGGCTGAGCAGGGTGGGCAGGGACTTCTGTCAGGCGAGAACTGTGGGGTCCCGGTGCAAGTAAGGCAGAGGATGGAGTGTGGGCTGAACCAGAGCAGGGAGGGACTGAGCTGACCCAGCGGGGCTGAGCCCTAGAGGGGCGGGGCTGAGGTCGGCGCTGGGCGGGGCCGAGCCTGGAGGCGGAGCTCCGGGCAGAAGGGGCGGGGCTGATCCTGGAGGCGGAGCTCGGGGCAGGAGGGGCGGGGCCGAGCCTGGAGGCGGAGCTCGGGACAGGAGGGGCGGGGCTGAGGTCGGCGCAGGGCGGGGCCGAGCCTGGAGGTGGAGCTCCGGGCAGAAGGGGCGGGGCTGAGCCTGGAGGCGGAGCTCGGGGCAGGAGGGGCGGGGCCGAGCCTGGAGGCGGAGCTCGGGACAAGAGGGGCGGGGCTGAGGTCGGCGCAGGGCGGGACCGAGCCTGGAGGCGGAGCTCCGGGCAGAAGGGGCGGGGCCGAGCCTGGAGGCGGAGCTCGGGGCAGGAGGGGCGGGGCCGAGCCTGGAGGCGGAGCTCGGGACAGGAGGGGCGGGGCTGAGGTCGGCGCTGGGCGGGGCCGAGCCTGGAGGCGGAGCTCGGGACAGGAGGGGCGGGGCTGAGGTCGGCGCAGGGCGGGGCCGAGCCTGGGGGCGGAGCTCAGGGCACGAGGGGCGGGGCTGCCCTAACCCTAGCCCTAACCCTCCTGGCTGGAGGAGGATG